ATGTGAGGAAAGTATACAAGGGAAAGAATGATGATGAGAGAAAGAAGGAAAAAAATTAAAAAGAATGAATGAAAACAAAATCTTGAAAATAACATAACATATATATATATTTGTCTTTCCCTTCATCCATTTGCATCCATCCTTCATTTCTCCCACGTACTTGTTTCCTGTAACTAACACAAAAAGGTAAAAGTCAAAAACAAAAGAACAAAATAGTTATCAAACGAACCTTTAAGAACAATTCACCTGTTTTAGTGTCATTGAAATTATAAAATCAATTGTTATGTGTACATGAGATAAATATGTGATGGTGAAATACACAAGGATATGAGCAAAGCCCAGAAGATATGGTGCAAGATGTAAATTCTCTGGGTCCAGAAGTGTCTGGACTGAAGGTGACAGATTAACGTATTGAACAAAAAGCTAACCTTTACCGCAATTAACAAGAACCTCCATATTCAATCCCGAGATTAAATTTGATTAATAAAGGAAATTGAGGGGGAATTTTGAGTGTTTGATTCATCTCTCTTAACCTTAACTGGCTGCTTAATTAGTCAGTCGTTTTACCCATTGAAAAGTCTATGAAAGTGATGCACATGTAGAAAGATGAGGCATTGTTTTGTTTCATGATCCCAACCACACAAGTCTCTTTCTTTTCTTAAGATTAAATAGTCATCCCGAGGTTTTTTTTTTTTTTTGTCAAACGATAGATTTTGTTATATTAGATGTTAGATTAGCCATCGACGGGGCTTGAACCCACGATGTTATGCAAGGGCTCAACACCTTTCCACCACTATGATAAAGGGCCACTTGCAATAGTAGGTTGAGTAAACTCTAAAATTATGTGTTGCCGTAGTGCAGGATCAAACACAATTGGAATCCAATGCCAGAATTGGAAACCCACAAAAAGTTAAAACAAAATTTTGATTGGAATTCTTGGTTTGCAAGAAACGGTTTATTACTTATTTTTTGTCTGTTTTTTATCATTGGTTTTCCAGTTTTGACCAAAACAGATTAAAATATTTGTTCCTATGATGTCTTATTAAGTTCTATTTCGGAACCATTGGATCCTGGTTTAGATTTGAGTCAAGGAGGACCCAAATGTATTCCCTCACACAAACTCCCTCCTATAAATTAGGGACTGGAATTATTTTTTGCAAGATAAACAGATACTCCAGACACACACACCACAGCCATCAGAAGAGAGAGGGAGGTGGTTAGAAAAGAATCTAACCCTATTTATTCTTCTTCACTGGATGAAAGCATGTAGCAACAATAAGTGAATGAATTGTTTTGTTGGGTCACCCCTGTTTTCTCCCTTTTTTTATAAAAAAATCTGGTTCTGCTGCTGACATGGACGTGAATGTTTTTCCAACGCTTGTGTGTGGGTGGACTTGGGAGGAGAACAAGTTGTTCGAGCTGGCTTTGGCGGTGGTTGACGAAGAAGATCCGCAGCGCTGGGACGTAGTTGCATCCTTGGTCGGAGGGAGAAAGAGTGCAGAGGATGTCCAGAAACATTATGTCATTCTTTTGGAGGATTTGCAGGTCATAGAATCTGGTAAATTGGATCACAAACTCGGACAGCAGCCGCAGCAGAATTATGTTCAAGTGGATCATTGTACTCAATCCGTATGCTGGACTGACGAAACTAACAAGTATGTGAAATCTTTGTGGATTAAAGTCCTTGATTGCTGGAAAAAATACTTTTATTTGCTTTTCATTCATTGGTTTTCACGTGTAAATTGGACAGCTACTAGAACTTGTTCCTACCTTCCTGTTAGATAGCTAGTTTAGTAATGATCTTGTTTATTCAGTTCCATGGGATATTTGAGTTTTTTTTCTGATGATTAGAAAATGTCGTGCAACAGTTTGCTGGTTCGGTTGGACTTGAATTAAATCTTTCCGGCAAATTGCTATCTGTTGAAGCTTTCTCGTTCAAGCGTGAACCCAAAATAGGATGAGGTGAAGCTGCTGATCATGCAAAGTGTATCAGTTTGAAAGCTCTGTCAGCAGCTTGTAAAATATCCACCCTTCCCTTCTTGTAAAAACACAAGTTCAGTGAAATGCAAGTCAGATAGATCGACACTCCAAACCCTGCATAGGCTACTCTTTTTCTGATTCATCTCATATAATTTATAATCACTCACTTAGTTTCCAGCTACTGATAAATACATTTAAAAATGATCTGCATCTTTACCTAGTGATCAATCCATCGACTTCGTCTTTGATGAGATTTCTGCTATGGAAAGATGTCTGGGAACACAGCTCATTGTAGGAAATTGTATATGACATTTATTTATTTATTTGTTTGCTTTTGTTTTGCGATGTGTTCTGTTTAAGATACATTTTCCTTTGTGAACAAGATTGCACCATAAATGACCAGAACATTACTAAAAGAAACTATATTTGAATATTGGGACGACGGAAACAGAATTTACAATCAACTGAAATATATAGACCATCATTTTATTCAGAAACCATAATTTTCTATGAACGCATTCTCAACCTCCAAACTTGTGCCGAGCAGAAAAGGTAACGAAGCCTGCAAACAGTCACTTGCATAGAGGCATTTATGGCATTGATTCACATAGCAATCAATTCAAAGTATATGAGTGGCTGATGACAAACAAGCAGTGAGCATCTGCCGATGAATGGCATATACCTAACAACGCAGTTACTGAGAGGGCCCTAAAGATTGTATAGGGTAATGATCCATTTTCAGACACGTAATATGTTATGTTGTCAGATAGTGAATCTACATTTAACCTCAATGATAAGGAATAAGTTAAAGAGGATGAGAAAAAGGAAGGAGAGGGAGGCAAAGCCAGGGAAGAGGCAGTGCATGAGTAGAGTCACAAGAGCTCTATTTTGCTCTTGAGAACTCCATCCATGCTCTACCTCTTCCCTGTCTTATTAACTCTCTTTTCCGCATTACTCAAATACTTGAGAGTAAATTTCTAGTCTAACCAACATGTAATAATATATATACTTTTACCTCTTGGTTGGCATTTGAGACTGATATTTGCCTCATCTCCATCTGCTTCTTTCCAACTTGTGTGTGGGTATAATATTTGTCCCTTGCAGGTTTTTGTATATAAACCACATAGATATATAGTACACAAGACACATGTACTACCAAAACCCAGTTCAATCACCAGCATTACCTACCATGTACTACTAAGTATATGTACTAGTTGTAGCATTACAGTAGTACGTGCCTCTTTCTTCTGTCCTATCCTTTGTACTTCTACGTACTAACTAACTGGATTAATTGGAGGAGAAAGAAACAATGTCAAAGAGCTTTTCAAAAGATGAACGAATGAGGTACAAGTGACAACATGTACTACACTCCCTCCTTCTTGTACTCACAACCCCATCATCACTAATACCACTCTTAATAAATTATTACAAAAAAGAGACAGAATTAGTAAAATCACATTCAGAGTAGTTCATTATTCACTTTGTTAATTTCTTTTGGGTTTTTTTTTTAATTGATACCATTTTGTTTTTTGTTTTTGTTTCACTTTTTAAAAAATTGAAAAACTAAAATATATGGAAAGGGCCCACAACAATTGACAAATATGGTTGCATTGCATGTGACGATTGAGCTACCTTCATCACCAAACTCATCTAAACCCCACCACCACACCAGATTGATGTTTGCCTTGCCTGTTTATCTGCAGAAGCCTCTTGTTTTTTCACTCTTTGTTTTTAACTAAAATTGTCGAGTTTATTTTTTGGGTAATGCAAGATTTTTGTTGCCTACAGATCAAACTCCAAGAGATAAACATTACGTAACCGATTGACATTTTGGCAAAACTTCCATAAAAGGTTAGGAATAGCTTCTTTAACATCTCAATAAACATCATGAGTGTGTAAAAGTAAAACTTCGTTACAAAAAGATAACCAGACACTTGAGCCAATTTCTGAATTTCTTCCCCTTCACCAGACCCTTGTCTAAGATGTCTAACGACACGAACAAACAATGTAAAACCAACTCCCTGATTCCTCCAAACCCAAGACGAATTCTAGAACCTCTACAAAACAAACTCAATAAACCAAAAACTCTTACACATCATTCAGAATCAGAATCTGGATCCACAATATCAGGAAATGAATCCACATCTGAATCAGTGCCCAGTTCATATGCGATTCCCTTGCCCTTCTCAGGATTTTTGAAGCAGACGCCGAATTACTCTCTCTGCCAAGAAACCCATCACCCTTAGCCACCACCACATCATGGCTTGTAACCGTAGTGCTACCTGCTTGATCTGATGGACCATTTCCCAGAAAAACCCTCCCAAAGACTTCCTCAACAACTGTAGTTCGAGACACTGAGGCACCTTTTGAAGACAGATCATTCTCAAGTTGCATTGCGGATTCTTGAAATTGGCAGGATTCAACCATATTTTCAGCCCCATTGACTCTCATCTCCACATCCTTAATGGGTACTTCAAGCTCCCGTGCACTTCCTCCTAGAGTCTCTTTACCAAATGAACCATCTACAGAAAGTTTTTTATCCCGATGAATTGTTAGAGCTTTGGATGGCTCTCCAGCCTGCATAGTCTTGTCTAGGTCACTCTTCGGTGCTTCCATTTCTTTACCAGTTGCAAGCCAGCTATTATATAGGTCGTCACAATCTGAATCAGAAGCATCATACACCATTCCCTGTAAGTCACTTGAAAACGGTGTTCGGTGCTTTACACTACTAGGGTACATGTTTTCTGGGAGCTTGTGGCTAACTCCATCAGAGAAACCTGATAGTGGGAGTGCCCTGGGATGTATAAGGACCTCTAAGGTCAAAAGAGCATGAGCACAGAATCCAGCAACTTTGGTTCCAGTTGCTTGCTTGCCTGCAGAAAACCACTTTCATGTGTTTACAATAACTGAGGAAATACACACAAGAAATACAAAATTCATCTATTGCCGTTTCACTCATGCATATTGCATAAAAGTATATTATTCTAATTAAAGTAAAATTATTGAGATGGTTATTATCATTTCATTACGTGTCTGTTTCTTTTTTCGGAAAGATGTATCATGCTTGTCATTGAGTTTTTAATTTGTAGATTCAGACCATAGTCACAGTCTCTTACTCCGTCAGGAGTTTTCCCTAACAAGTAATTAAATGTTATTAAAGAGGTGCAATTCCTTCCTGGACATCAGTAATTAGTTGTAATACATGTCTATTTGTTGTTGATACATCCATGAGATAATCAAAATGAAAAACGAGATTTCACTTATTTTTTAAGGAATTACCTCTACGGAAAAGATCAAGACCCTCAGCTAAATAAGGGGGGCGGACACAAGAAGAAAGTAATGATGCCAAAAGTGCTCGTAGAGCAGCAAGCTGAAAATCACCCCAAATATCAACAGGTTCATTCGGCTGGTAAATGTTTTTGTTATTACCAGCCTGTCCCCCTTTCATAGAATTTGTAGCTATGTTCATCAGAAGAAAATCAACATCAGATCGCCATCCTTCAGATTTCAATACACCACCCTGAGCAAAAGAAATAGAACCTCTTACTCATTAGTAGACCTTTGAGATCAGAAAGAATGATCCACAAGCATTTTAAGTTTTACATACACAAGTAGATGGGAACACATGAATACCAAAAAAAAAAATGAACTCAACAAAATCAGCAAGGTGGGGGATGATTACATAGTTGCTAAAATTAAGATTTGAAGACTCCATTTTGAAATCTAGGATCCAACAGTCAAGCATCACTAGTCTTCTACTTGTGCAAGAGGGACTTTACTATTTTATGTTTACATTAACTATTTACCGACTTGATCCAAGACCTTGGGTTGACATAAATATCATACACAAAGATGCAACATTCTATTGAAGGACATACGGAGTACACTCTCTCCACGAAAGGGAAAAGGAAGGAAAAAAAGGCATGGACTACACATACCACAGTGACAAGAGCTTCTAAGGCCTCAAGTGCAGCGATTCTCACAGGAATAGGAGATAACGTATGGTTCTTGGGGTTCCCCTCTTCCAAACTACTAGTCTTACGCCACTCAAGAGATCTGCTTGAAGCTCCATGCTTCCTCTTTCTATGGCTAGATTGCGGTGTTTGAAGCAATGCTTCAGTACAAGGCTTTGATGAGATTCCACTAGAAGGTGCACCACCACTTTCATTCACAATGGGATTCAGATCAATCAATGCGTTTTTAGCAACTTCCCGTGCCAGGCTTACTGTCATCCCTGATAAGCATAAAGTTCCCAATTAACAAAACCAAAAAATGATTTCCAGAAGAAAGGCACTAAATGGCAACGAAAATAAAGGGTATTGGGAGAAAGCTTTATGCAGATTTCCTAAACACCAGCTATCTTAAACAAATGAGGATCATGGACTGAAGCATCACAAGACCATGGCAATATATCAGAAGTATAGAACACAGTTGAAGGGTGGTTACTTACTGAATTTGACTTTTCAATGCAAATTCAGGATGGAAGTAGCCATCTCTCGCACAAGATAGCAAGATCAATGCATAAACTTTATTTCTAGGTTTTCTCAAAGGAATGGCTTTGTTTAGTAATAAGGCTACACGGATTAGTTCCCTTCTAGAGGGATTAGGCTTTCTGTAGTGGTCAACATATCTTGCTCCATCCCTATGTAATGTGACTGTATTTAACAGGCATGTTTCTATTCAGCAGGACAAAATCTAGAATAAATATATTTTCTGAAATTACTGCATACCAACACCCATGGATATCAGCAACATTCTTGTGATTAAGTAAACCTTTATCCTCAATTCTGGCAATGCACATCTCTTTAAATACACTGAAAGCAGATGCACTAAATAAGCAGCATGTGGTAAAAGTTGACTGCAAGGAAGACAACAAGATTATCAGAAAGTTAGCATTCTAACAACTCAAGAACTAGGAAACAAACTAAAGAAGGAAATATCTCTAAGACGTATAATAGCTGAGAGAAATAGAGCCTAAAAGAAGCATCTCTAGCATTCCTAAGTTCAGAAGGACTTGGCATATTGAACTCACATTGTAATTGGGATATCAAGTAAGCATCCCCCCATATATCACAAGTTCAAGAATCAAGGTTTCACCTATTACCCAAACGTTCTACGGAACAAAACTTTATGTTGTTCTAAGATATTCATTGACGAATGCCACTAGAGAGAATTTATTATATTTCAAGCTTTTACATCAATAAATTGTCAGCTCAAAGGAAAACCATTTGTTCTCTCATTGTTTCCTTCCTTTTTTTTTTTGGGGGGTGGTGGGGGGGGGGTGGGGGGTTGGGGGGTGGGTGGGTTTGCAATTAGACAGAAATGAGAGTTAGATTATCCACACGCACAATATCGGGCAAAAGCCAACAATAGCAGGTCCCTGTTAACAAAATTTCCAGGTAAGTATTCAACTATGTCGAAGTTAAAACCCATACCAAAAAATAACAATTAAATGGGCAACCTTCAAATTATATCAGTAAGACACATCTGGTAAATAATGGAGGAAGACGTTCTATATTACCTGCGCACACCCTCTATAATAGCAGTGAGGAATTCTAAACCATACAGGTGCAGAAGTGGTAGTTCCGAACAAATGAACTCTTGCTGTGTGGCAGTCATAAAGGGAAGCAGAGATTGTGGCAGGGAACCATCCATAATCAGCACTCTCTCAATAAGGGCAAATAAGGACCGAATAGGAACAGTCACCTATTAGTACAAATACATTAGATACTTGTGGACTATCAAATTCATTTACATTGTGCATAAAACATGGAAAGGTAAGTGGAACCTATGGAAAATATTATAGTGACATTCAGTTTATTCTGTTTTTCTTTTTTCCTCTTTTTCATAGAAACCCACCTGAACAGGGTACGAAGTTGTTATCATTGTAGAGCAGCAAACCATCAGTGCAGAGATACTGGACATTGTCAAACGCTGAGAACTCTTTCTTCCCTTTGTTGAATCTTTTCCTGACACTCTACTTCCTCCCAACTGAGGAGGGGGTTCTTTCCCTGGTGGAACCAAAAATCTAATAATTGCATGGCGTTTTGTTTCTACAATACAAATTAATACGAATATCAGTTATTTAGCTAAACGCCAACACCAACACCAACATAAAAATTATCAATAATAGTATCATAACTGTACCTTCCTCAAACCCATGAAAAACATCATTCAGGTGACCATTAATCAACAATAAAATACTTTTGAATCATTAAGGGACCAGCTATAATCCTTCTATCTGACTTTATATGAGAATAGCAACGCGATTAAGGAGTTGTGTGCCAAGCTAGATAGAGAAATTATACATTACGAATAATGGTCCGCAAAGGCTCTAGACACCCTCTGACATTTCAGAATATTCTTCACTATGCACAGGCGAGTCAGAGAAATATCCCAATTAAATGCCCCTGAGAGGCGTTTGGCCTCTCGCCAAATTTCTATTAGAAGCCATCTGACTTCATAACACAACACTTAAAATACAATGGTATTAAAATGATTTCAGATAGAACAATTGCCTTATGCAGATTGTCAATGGAAGACTATCTCGGCCTAAAGAATATATTGGAAGATCTCACTTTGTGTCTTTTCGCAATTAGTTATTATTAACTATTTGAAAGAACTATCACATTTAATATTTGTCTGAAAATATTTTTCGGAATTGCTTAAGAAGACCGTATTGAATTTACAATAAACTGCCATACAATTGCCATGGATATGTTACTTACTTCTTATACAAACGAAATTCTCTGAAGTTAACTAATATGATTTGGCTCAAGAAAGAAAGATATAATTGTGTACATTGAACTGTTTTATGTATAATATCTACATAACAATCAAATTTGCCATTATCTTAGGTATATAATTCTACTAACAAATGTAATACATTCACACTTACTGAACATACCAAAAAAGTAATTGCACTCTAACGAATTCCAAAAGTGGAACATGAAATAACAGATCTTGTTTTTGAGTAGCATAAGTTTTCACCAGGGGCCGGATTGTCGTGAGAAACATCTCCAGTATGCAACTCATTAGGACGAGTCGACCCGAACCTAAATAAAAAAAAAACTATAAAAAATGGTATAAGCGTTTTTAACAAAACCTTGACTGTGAGTTAACTTGTTTTGCTTTCTGAATTTGAATGGACAATGGATATTATTTTTACAGGAAAATAAATAATGGGCGTGAGGCTCTGCCTTGATGGCTTTATAGAGGGCATATGAAACTTAGCTTAGTTTTTTGAGCGCTATACAAAGTAATCAATAATATCGTAAACATCATGCTAATTTCCCGTGCCTTTTGTTTTTAATTAGAAATGTAAAATTTGCATCATGACTAATCGTTGCCTTACAACTGCCTGTTGTGACTCTATTTTTCAAAAAATTGTAGAAAAATTTACGGAAAGAAACTTCTCAGTTCTTTAAATTGTATAAACACCAAAGACTCAAACACCTTTAAGATCATATTAAAACTCAAAAGTTGGTTGATATTGTGAGTTCGATGTATTTATCCCTTGGTGTACCCAACCTTAAAAAAAAAAAAAAAAAAAAGTGAAAAAAGCCCACACTGGACTTGAACGCTCAATTTTATACTCATACATTATGAATATAAAGGTGAATTGGAGTCATTATCACTTAAAAAACCATTCGGAAATGACAAATGAGCATGCTCGAGGAATCCCGATATATTACATTGGATGAGATCTAACGAGAAAGAGCATTGACCTTGAGCCGAAGTGCTAATGCCCAATATACTACTCTTAAAGCAAAAAATTTTACGATTTATAATTTATACACAAAACAAAAGTTCAAGACAATCTCCTTCCCATTATCATCGCTTATCATCCAAAAAACATTCACAAGAGGTCAGGTGTGAAAGTTCAGGCATTCTTGGACCTCCCCTTTCTTGAAACATATAATATAATAAACTTATATTTTATAGAGTTAGGATATTAGGATTAATTTTTTTTAGCTGCATCTCTTGCTATAATTAATTAGTCTATAATTCAAAATGGCCAAAGGAGCGTGGTCTTGCTATTAGCAGTATGTGGAACTTTGTTTGATGGAACATGGAGAATAATTTGTTTAGTAAGGGCATGGAAGCCAAGTGGAGCGCAATTGGGCACCAGGGCCACGTTTAACATTGCAACCTTACCATCAATATAAGTGCACCATAGTTTTCCTTAAGCCTGCTTCTCATGTGTTAATCAATAATTTTTAATATCATAGGAAGACTAAACAAACCTAATATTGTGTTTGTTCAGGTGAATCAAAACCACAGTTGGCAATGCATTTGACTTGTTATTGTAAAAGCAATGTTTTCTCCAATGAAAACAAGTATAACTACCACATAATGAATGTTTAATTTAAATAAGCATTCATCTCGGTACCTGAATATGTGATAGGAATATTGAACCACCGGAGTTATGATTCCCATGAACCGCTCAGGAGCATTCCCGACAAGTCACCCCATCAACAAATCCTCCCAACATTATCTGGCTACAACTATATATCAAGAATTCACAAGAAGACAAGAAAACTCTCGGTAGAATGAAAACAGATAGTTCTTTCTTTGCCTCGTCGTAACATGGTGTAAAACTGTTACTTATGCCTCTAGTTGCAACTACTAATATAAAAGATGACTCATCCCACGACAATTTTGGTTTGGCTTCCTCCATAAAGTGGAACTCAGGGTGCATTTTGCTAGCCTACCATTGACAGCTAAAACTGAAAGTTTGACATTCAAAATGAACATAATGGACTTTCCTATAGTACTAAACCCAATTGTTTCAGTAGACTAAAGAAAATCAAATTTATAGTTTTCAAAAATAATAAACAAACAAGTCAGTTCAGATAAACTGAACTGTAAAAAGCTCGTTTGTACATACCATATCACTAGAAACAAGCTGCGCCAAGCGACGGACCCAGGAATCAGTAGCGGATTTCCAAGTAGTGATTAGCTTTTGGTCAGTCATATCTTGTGCAGACTCACAAAGGAGGTTGTGGGTTTTGATCGCGTAGACTACCTTCGACAGCTCCAACGGACTCCCAGACGGGTGTTTATCATCAGGGAGGTCTCTTACGAGCGTTTGCAACAGACGAGGTCTTAGAGCAACATCGTACATGTCCTTGACATGGTCAAAGGCCGCCATTGGAGCCCAAGCTTAAGCTCTGAAATAGAAAGGGAAAAACAGAGGGCCTTAGGGTTTATGAATTTGGTAGTTAAACCCTAATGGGAGGAGCTTTAGGCTATGTTACAGTTCAAAACTCTACCCAAGTCAATAGCTTTCAGTGTTAGGAAATTTCCTACATTGCTTCCCTTCCCAAAAGTCCTAAATAGTTCTCTGCAACTCTTTCTTCCTCCTCCTCCAGTCCAGAGAATGCCATAAATGGTTAACTCTCAAAGAAATACCCAAATTTACACTCTGCAGAATAGGAAGGGAAAAAAGGGAAATCCAGAAGAAACTTACCAAATAGCCGAGCAGGGTTCTTGGAGAAGGAGAGGGAGGTCTGCAACAATGACTGTTAAGACTGATCGAGGAAAATGTTTGGGAGAAAGACGGAGAGCTGCGTATGCAACGACACGTGAAGAACAAGAGTGTTGGGGGAGCCGCAAGTTTGGGGGCGCCAAGCCAACTATGGGATAAACTTGCGTTCGGATGGGCTTTAGATCCTTTTGGACAACAGCCCAGTCAGCCCCAGTTTGGGGTTGAGGTGATTTAAAAAAAAGCTCGTATGAAAAAAAGCTGAGAGTGTTTTTGGTGTTTGGTAAACTTAAAAAAAAAGGCTTATTTTGGAAGCTGCTGTGAGAATAAGCTGAAATCAAAGGAAAAAGCTGAAGCTGCAATTTGTAGCTTTGGAAAACTGGCTTTTTTTCAAAGCACACAGAACTACAGTGCTCCTTTAATGAAAAGACCCACTATCAGACTGTTTTTTTTTTCAAAAGCACTTTTACAAAAAAGTTTACCAAACACTCTGCTGATTTATTTCACAGCCGCTTATTCTCACAACACAGCCGCTTATTCTCACATCAGTTTTTTTTCAAAGCAGAGCAATACCAAACTAATTAGCCCAATAATGGCAAATGTGGAGGAAATACCTAAAACATCCACATCATCCTTCTTTTAAACAAAGTAATCATCATCGTTGCAAGTAGTAACTATGATTTTGTTGAACAAATGTAGTCGCATCCTAAATTTTCTTTTCAAATAATCTTTCAAGTACAAAGTATTTGGAATAAAATAATCTTCCAATATATTCTCACATCGATTTCCCCTGCATCGATTAAGGTTTAGTGCACTGCCAACTCTTGAACCACTTGCTTTTTGGTTGTTGATCGATTGCTTCTATCGCTTGCACCACCTGATGGGTTGATGTTTCTCTATGCCTTCAATGTTGAGCACGTCTTATACTTCGTTCCTCATCTTCTCGCTCATTTTCTTGCTCTTGACTCCCTTGCAACCTCCTCAAAGTTAGACATTGTTGAAAGAACTTTTCTATTCTGAAACTCTATGGATTGAGATGAGTATGAGGATAGAAGAGGGTATGTGTGAGGAGATGTGGTGATTTAAGGGTTTTTAAGGAGAAATATGAGAAAATCAGAAGATTGGATAAGGACATGTGACACTACGTAAATGGTTTAGAATTAAAAAAAAAATTGAGCAGATATTATTAATGGATGATGAGACATGGATGGTTGGGGAAGCAAAGCCACGCTTGTTGATCCTATAACACATTTCACTTCTTTCAATCGGTCTAAACCCTACAACACCCAGGGCCGGCTCCGATAATTTGGGGTCTCTAGTCAAGCTTTCAAAGTGGGGCAATTCTCTGACTTCTGACCCTTTGTACATTGATATGTATAAAAAAAATTCACTAAATACATGAAAAAAAAATCTATTTCTACATTAAATATCATTAAAAAATAATGTTCAAAGAAGAAAGGTATACAAACATTACTTAATTATTACAAGTCTAGCGTTTTTAGACAGAAATGTACTAATTAAGTTTACATAATCTAATTTTTAACTAATTATTTTTCAGTTGATAAAAATGGTTACCCCAATCAATCTTTCTTGTGACATAATTGATCGAAGATAAGATTTGAACTTTAATTTTGAAAAACCTCTAACTAGTATGGTCAACAAATTTCTATAAGCAAGACCCGAGCACTCTAAAGACACAAAATTTGTATATTAATTTGTATATATACATATATATATATGTGTGTGTGTTGGAGTGAGATTTCCTACGAGAAGAAATACCTCCACAGATTTGTTGACCGCAATCCTCATGTTCGCCGAATCCTTATTCGAGATGTCCCAAAATAATCTTCCTCCACAACTTGCCCGGGCGAGCACCTGCAAAAGATACTCCGACGCTCAAGTTAGTTTATTGGTTTCTATTCTTTGGATTCTCTCGGGTTCTCCTCACGTACCTTGTTCTTTGGCTCCACTCCATCTTCATAGGATTGCATGCCTGGAGAACAAGTACCACGATCTCTCTTTCTTTCCCACTTCCTTAGTGGTCCTCCGTAATATGACTGCATGTTTTGGGAACAAGCACCACATCATATTTTCCTTTCACTTCCTTAGTGATCCTCCGTAATGGAGGCGGTTACCTGGACACGTGCGCCTGCCTGTTCCTCGTGGGCTCTCCTTATGGTTTACCTTGCATAACACCATCCCTAGGTGACTTAGACTGGCCCATGAGTCGAAACCGGATTTTAATCTCCCACACGCCCCCTTTTTCCCTTTTTTACGTATGTAAAATAGGGGAAAACTAAGTTTTTTGATCACATGTGGCCTTGAAACTATGCTTTTTGAACCTAGCAAAACTTTTAGCATTTCTTACTAAGACCAAATTTGTGGGAGTTTCTTTTTCTACGGGTAAATTTACTGAAGGTAAATTTACCAAAGTTATTGTTTCGTGTACCTAACTCGCGAAAGCCAGATAGGCTGCTTCGCTTACTTTACGAAATTCACCTCACAGCTTCACATAAAATATAGGCTGACACCTTCCACGAAAGCAAACTGACATTTACAAACGAGGATTTACGAACAAAGATTTATGAACGAGGATTTACGAGGACATTACGAAGGTGGACTGACATGATGAACAAGGATTGACATTACGAAAATGGACTGACATTACGAAAGTGGACTGACATAACGGAAGATGACTAACATTACGAAAGTGGACTGACATGACGAAAGATGACTGACATTACGAAAGTGAACTCATATTACGAAAGTGGACTGACATAACAGAAGAGGACTGACATTACGAAAGTGGACTGACATTACGGAAGATGACTGACATTACGAAAGAGGACTGACGAAATTTAACTGTGTAGTCTGACAGATTACACGTATGCGTATCTATTATATAACTCACTGTCCCGTCTTGTCGAACTGACGAAAACAGCAACTATAGCTGCAGCGCAGAAGTCTAAAACACGTTCACACACTCGTGTGCATATATATAGACACCAATACCGACACTTACCTTTATACATACATACATACATACATACATACATACATACAAACATACATACATATATATATATATATATATATATATGGGTGAGTATACATATAGGAAAGCATGCAAAAGTCTGGCAAGAAATACTTTTGAGGCCATCACGTTCTTGCCAGACTTTTGCATACTTTCCTATATGTATACTCACCCATATATATATATATATATAAGTGTACTTTTGTGGACCAGATTTTTTCATGCTTTCCTATATGTATACTCACCCATATATATATATATATATATATATATATATATGTACTTTATATATATACATATATATGTCTGGATTCATAGGCATATATAGGCAGACCTACGAGCAACTTACGTGTGCATATCTCTGCATACTAACTTGCGGATCTCTGCACGTATTGTTCATATATTCGTGTACATCTTATGCACACATGTATATATGTGTGTGTGTGTGTGTGTGTGTGTGTGTGTGTGTGTGTGTGTGTGTGTGTGTTTGTGTGTGTGTCATTACCTTGTGTTTCTCTATCTCTGCCTTTCTTCACTTCCTTTGCTTAGTTTCTTCTCCAAGCCTATGATTTCTTGCTTCAGAGACCTCTTAGTTTACAAGTAATTTTCATTTCAAACTCCTTTTGCGAGAATATTTCAAACATTCCACTTACGTTTATGAGCAAAAATTCCTCTTCTGTCTTATCTAACCAAATTTTGGCTGGTAAGTCTCCCACTCATTTATCATGTCGAGACGTACACCTTGGTCTAAATATGGTGGTACTCCACCACCCTTCAAAATTGTCAAGGCTCGTGACCTAGGTCATGTTCCAGATGACATACACCTTAGCCCACTTTCTGCCAGAGCCGACATGTATTCGAGCCTTGGTATCCCAACCGGGTCTACCGTTTTGTCTCCGGACCATTTAGGGGTCATTAGTTTCCCGCTCCACCCCATGATTCATCTCATCTTATTCTTTACTAATACTCACCCTATGCAACTGAACCCAAACTCTTACTTGATTATGTCGACCTTTCTAGCATTGGGTCTGAAGCTAGGTGTATCCTTAGGTTTTAGGGATTTTCTCTATCTCTTCGACTTGACGGTTATTAAGGGTCAAACTAGCTTCTTTAATTTTAAACCTAGATATCGTTAGAAATTTTTGTCATTGGGCCCTTCGAGAGCTAGAGACTGGAAGAACCACCCTCTTTTGATTTCGGGGAACTGGAAGGCTCCCGAGCTGTCACAACTATCTATTCCTTCTGTTTTCAGTCCTAAACTTGGTATATAAATTTACCTTTATTATTCGTTTTTCATAAATGTGCGGACTTTACTTATCGTGAATTTCTTCCGTAGCTTTATCAGATGGTCCTAAACAGATCATTTCTAAAGACCAAAAATGTTGGCTAAAGAAGTTTGTGACGAGGAAGATATGGAGCTCTAAAGAAGTTGCCGAGACCCTCACTCAAATCACCTCTCTTCGCAACTCCATCATTTACTTCCCGTACTGTTTGGTCGACCGGTCGTTGCCTCCAGACCCCCTACTTAAATCTATCTTTGCTTTCGATCTTGACCTTCAATTCAACGCAGAGTGTTCCTTACTTGTGATCGACTCTCGAACGGAGGGCTCAGAAGAAGAAGATAAAGGAGGAGAAGACGAGGAGTCAGGGCAATCAGACACGGATTCTGACTCGAATTATTCTACTGTGATGGCTTCACCACCTTTTGACATTCCACCGTCCCGCTACGTTATGTCACCTCTACGTGATCTTCCTGTTCCCAGAATTGCAGGAAGGTCGGATAAACGTCATCTGACAAATAGGCCCAAAAAGTCTAGGCGTGGTTCACTGACTATCTTCGACACAGCCCCAAGATCCATGCTATGGTAACCGGCTTCTCCCACTTTCAGCTCGGCTAGTGGTGATGGTTCCAGCAATTCATCTCAAACTTGGAGGCCTGAGTTCACAAAAAGAGATGGGAGTCACGTCACCTTTGGCGACGATCTATGAGGCAATGCAAGTGCTGCTACTGCTGCGGCAAAGGGCTCAGTTCATCCTAGTGACGTCGATCGTTTCGAGGTAATGCTCGATGACGATGTTGACTCTTATGAATCTCATTGCCT